CCCTTCTGCAACCACGAGAAATCTTGTGACGTGAAAATGGACCGTGCCTGTAACACCGGAGTCATCTCTTGTACCGTGTGCCTAGAGGAATTCCAGACACCCATCACGTATCTATCAGAACCGGTGGGCGTGTATAGTGATTGGATAGATGCCTGTGAGGCCGCCAATCAGTAGCAAAACAGAGGACCCACCCCCTCTGCAGACTCGCTGCTGAGGACCAGCCTGCTGGGTACCAATCCAGAGACATTCCTGAGGTCCAGGATGTGAGTCCAGGGCCTTCGCAGCCCCTGCCTGTGTATGGAGTGGATGTGGATGTGAATGTGTGACTGCAAGTGTGGCCATGGGGGTGTGCTCATGGGCAGGGGGCTCCGGGGGTTTGAACTGCCTCCCTTGACTCCCAAAGCCTTTGACTTTCTCCCTCTTTCGGCCCCTGACCCCCTGGCTCTGGAGCCCTGGCTTTCCCGGGGGCCAATGTCCTGACATCTTGGGTGAGAGCAAGCCCAGCAGAGACAGCCTCAGGACTCTCCGCCTCCTCACCCACCTCCCTAGCACCTTGCCCGTGTGAACTGGACCGCACACCTCTCTGCCTTCCAAGGACTGTGGCCTCGGGTTCAGCACCACTGGCCCCTGGCTGGGACCTGGCAGGGGGGCCCCAGTTCATGTGTAGTTGCTTTTCTAGAGGAGGGAGGGGCTGGGTTGGGGACTGTTAGTCACCAGTCCTTAAATAAAGCAGCCGAAATAAAATTTTAAAAAAAGACAAGGAGGGCAATGAGGTTTCTATGTTCAGAGACCCCAAGGGAGGCAGCAGGCAAGGGAACCAGGCAGATGACCAGAGATGGGGCAGGCATGGATCTCAAGGTAGCCTGGCATGAGGAATCCATAAGATAGGCAACATCTGAGCATACAGAAGAAAAGACAAATCCTTGGTGCTAGAAACAAACATGGAAGTGAAACCAGAGTGGTGGGTAAGCAGGCAGGCTGATACTGGGCAGCATGGGGGTGGGTGGGCCTGACCTGAATTAGTCTCCAGCACCAAGCGTGGCTGCATACGGGAACAGAAAAGGAGGCATGGGCCCACAGGAAGTAGGAGAGGACTGAGATCCTACAGGAGGTCCAATCTCCAGTGAAAGGGAGGCTAAGCTGGTCTGGGACACCACACACCGGCAGAGAGCACCAGGAACAGGGAAGGAGCCAAAAAAAACTGGGCAGGTGCCAGGCCCCAGCACAGCTAACCAGGCATCGGGTTACCACTTAGATCCAGCAGGGAAATTGGAGGATCTCAGCAGTGAAACTAGGTCAAAACTCCATTTGACTCACCACAGCGGGTACACTGGCTGTCTGATCTGTGGCCCAAGATGAACTCCGGAATGCACCCACTGTGAGACGGGGCACTGCTTCCCAAGAGCTTCCACCCAGAAGGAGCAAGTAACCTCTATTTCTACGGAGGCCCAGGTGGAATGGTCTAAAGCTATTCCTGTGACCCCACATTTCCTTAAAGCCTCGGATTTTCTTTTTCAATTGCATAGGACCTTTTCATCATAATCCAGAACAAGGTAAATTGATGATAAGTTTCCAGTGGTTGAGAACCACAGCTCTGTCTCCTATGCCAAGTTCCAGGGCTCTGATCTGAGAAGCACAGGTCGGATAAGGCTGCAGAGACAACATGGTGACACTGGTTGGCTGACACAGGGCTGAGAGGTCAGACCAGAAATCAGGAAGTCAGAGGGGAGCCTCCTGTAACAAGAGCTAAGACCAGGCAGAGTGAGAATCACAGTTTGCATGGGTTGGTAAAGCTTGCTCAGAGCGGCAATGAAAGGCTCAGGAGAGAAACGCTGTCTACTTGTTGCCATTCTATAGACCAAATCTTATGAGCTTATCCTATGAATTTATTTAAATCCTCTTGAACCAACTGAAAGGTTTTAAATTTCCATCTCCTAAATTAATTTCTATTCAGGTACCACTTACTCATGTCAACCAAAACACGCCCAGAAAATCACCTAGTAATGTGTACACATATTCTTATTCATTCCACACACATTTTATTGAATAAATAAAAACTTTATTTGTGTATTTACCAAAAACAATATCCTTAATTTGATCATTAAAAAAAATACAAATCTATGTAACCAAAATACTTAAAGGATTCGGTTAACTAAGTGTGGGCTATTTTTACCTATGAATATGAAAATCCCACCTTTCAAAACTGGTTTTGCAGAGACATATTTGAAATATTTGTGGGTTTCCATGAATATTGACTCTTCATGTTATGAGATTTATTACAACATCTAGGTCAGATATTAAGGGACAAAATCATTTTGCAATTCCAAGTTAGAACTTTATACAAGAAATCCCAGTGGTGCTGAACCACTTTGAAGATTCTATTGAGTATTTTTCTTTTTCAAAATCAAGTAGGATAAGCAAATAACAACAGTACCTTGAAGACTTTTATAAATAGGAAAGCTACACTTTTCACAGCTATAAGCGAAGGGTATTTGTATTTCCCTGAGAGCATAGTTTGCTTTGGGTTCGGGGTGTGTGTTGGGGGTGGCAGGAGGGCGGGGGTGAAGTCATTGACCGCAGAGTGTGGTGAGAGCTCAGAGAACAGCTACCTGTTGATGATTGGGTGAGTTTAGATCCATGCCCATTTCAGACCAGCCTTGTCAACTGGGGTCCATTAACCTGCCCTGGAGCCTCTGGGCCTCCTTCTCTCCAGGTCCAGTTAGGTCGGAGCCCCAGCCAAGCAGCTCAGAGCCCCAGAGCCCATGGGTCTGATTGCTAGTCCTGCTTTAACTTGTGACTGATTTCTAAGAAGTGGATTCCTTCCTGAAACCACCTTGGCTAGAACCTCCCCTCCCCCCTTATTCACCTCAAAGCTACAGTCTGGCAGCTTCAAGTGCAGAACTCTGGGTCATCTTAATGGATATATCTACCCACTAACCCATGCCATTATCGAGAATCCCTATTTCTTGAGAGCCAGGCACCTGAGAATTCTACCCCAAGTCACCTGCATACCCGGTGATATAAACATTATATAAAATTCTTTCCTTGCCTTCATTTGTGTGTTCTGAACTCGTCCTGAAACTTGGGTCCTGCATTTAGAACCAAGTTTATAACACAGAGATCTTGAATCTTCTCTTTCCTAGCACGGGTAGGCTCAAAATTTGCTGGCTTCTCTCCTTAGAGGACTGCCATGACGACGACTGTTGCATTTAGAACCAAGTTTATAACACAGAGATCCTGAATCTTCATTTTCCTAGCACGGGTAAGCTCAAAATTTGCTGGCTTCTCAGAGGACTGCCATGACATCCCTGGAACCATTTCTGGAATATGATTATAGCGCAGAAATAGTTTCCAAAGGCAACGTCAAAGACAGACAAACACGTAAGCAGTGGCCTCATCGTTGACCTAAGTGCACCGCTTTCCAGAGAGACCGCTCGGAAAGACAATGAAGACGTGGATGCAGCCTCATAACTTTACACACATCTCTTTTTTCTTTTGCCAACTTATGAAAAGAAAAATTATAATATTTTCAAGTGGCCTATTTACCTGTTTATTCAGTGTCTTCATAGTGGGGATTTGTCTTATTCATTGGTGTCCTCAAGACTTGACAAACATAAAGAACTCCTTGAGTGTTTGCTGAATTGAACTAGATTAAATTGAGAGCTTTGCTAAGGTTATTAGTGGTCATGAGCAAGTGATACACATGTGTTCTAAATTTCCACAAATATGCTTGTATTTTCCCATCTTCCTTTCATACTAGGGAGCTGAACTATCACATGTGACCCTAAGGCACAGAGCTTTGCACACACCAACATGCACTTATATTTATCCTCAATAACCTAAGCAGAAACAAATCTTGTAATTTTCCAAGTCTTTTTTATCTGCTTTGAATTTTAGCTCTTCTAGCCATAACGTTTCTAAGAAAATGAAATCCACGATCAAATTGCAAACTGCTGAGAAGTACAAGCACAATATGTATGCCACATCTGACATGAAATAAAACTCTATAAAGAGATTTGAAATCATATGATGAAAATAAAGCACATTGCGTAATGCAGTTACTCTGTTGTTACCATTGTTGTTGCTTAAATACAGCATCTGAAACAGGATCTCTTAATCTGTTCCCCCAACTTGGGGATTAGAATGAATTTCCAGTGAGCTCATTTGCAAGTTCTAGTGCTTAGAGTGAAGGATTAACTCTGTTCTTTGAATCCAAATTGTGCCAAGCTGATCCAAAAAGCAAACAGAAGGGCTTAAAAGGACCCTGAAAACTAAGGTTCCAGGAGGGTGGGGTCTCAGGGACATGGGCCCAAATCACTATCAAAAAATGGAGTGTATATCATCAAGGAAAGTTGCTCAGTCCTGGCAGAGTTGCTCAGTGGTTGGAGTGTCATTCAATACATCAAAAAGGTTGTTGATTCATATAAAGGTATAGGGCACATACTGAGGTTTCGGGTTTGATCCCGGATCTGGGTACATATGGGAGGCAACTGATTGATGTTTCTCTCTCCCTTCCTCTCTCTCTAAGATCAGTCAAAACATACCCCCAGGTGAGGAAGAAGGAGGAGGAGGAGGAGGAGGAGGAGGGGGTGGGGGCGGAGAACAAGTTGGTGATCCCTGCAGTGTCCAGCAGTCTATTAGGATATTCATGTCTTTTTAAAACAGGGCTCTGAGTCTCTGGGAACCTCTTTTCTCCATGGCAATACAACAGTTAGACATTAAGGGGCCAGGGCACTGGACTGTGCTGAAGGTACAATTCTATCTGGTGATGACAGTTCTAATCCAAAATGGGCCTCCTGTGATCATAAAAAAAAAAAAGAGGCTTTTGATGGGAGAACAGAATACAATTTTTTAATATATCTTTCAAAGCAAACAGGCCTTCCCAGACCCACCTCCCTAGACCTGTCAGATGGAAGAACCTCTGTTGGAATCCCAAGGCTCCAACACCAGGGATTCCAGCTGGTTTCAGTATTGGGGGGTTGGGGGAGGGGAGCGGGAGAAAGGAAAGAAGGAAAAAGGAAGGAAAAGAAAAGATAAATACCCTTATTTCCCTGCCCTGGTTAGTGAATCCTTTAGCCAGTTTTGGGCGCCTTGTTTTTGTTTCTGGTTTCCTGCTCTCAGAGAGCCAGTATGGCAGAAAGGGCACTGACTTTGACACTGAAAGACCTGGGTTTAGACTCCTGGTTTTGCTACTTGCAATTTGAGTGACCTGGGGCAAGTCACTTCGCCTCCCTGAAACTCGGTTTCCTCGCTTGTAAAACAGTGATTAAAAAAAAAAAAAAAAAAAAAAAAAAAACCAGCCACCAGGTCTTTATGCTGGTTCAGTGACTTGTACACCAAAGCGCCGGCATGGGCAGGTGGGTCCTGAATGTTACCTATGGCTCTTCTCTCCTGAGGTAGGTCACGCAAACATTGCTGGTTGCTCTCAAGTGTCCCAAAGCTGTGACTGCCAAGGAGCCCCCAGGGGCGGCCGCGGGGATTCCCTGAGGTCCGACCTAAAACGCACGCCCCGCCTCCGGTCTGAAGTGGGCGGGGCCTGGGTGCGGCGTGCGGAGGGGGCCCGGGAGGCGCCGCCCAGCCCCTGCGGTGACTCCGCCTCCCGCCGTCAGACCGACACGGCGCCGGGCACGATCCTCCGTATGTGGGTGTAGGACTTCCTGATGGTCACGCTGCCGTGGTGCGACACCCCCCGGGGCAGCACGCACTCCTCCGTCAGTTTCTGGGCCTCCGGGTCCCAGCACAGCACCGTGGCGATGACCTCGTTCTTCTCGTCGCGCCCGCCCGTGATGTAGAGCCGGTTGTTGCAGGGCGCGATGCCGCAGCTGGCCCTCTCGTGGCTGAGCTGGGTGACCAGGCTCCAGGTGTCCTCCAGGGGGCTGTAGGCGTACAGCGCTCTCATGGCCCCACCTGCAGACCAAGGGAAACACGGTGGGCCTCGCACCCTCTGTTCTGGGTTTCTTCTCCTTTCACCACACACCATCCTTCTGGTTCGGTAAGTCTACCGTCTCGCCTAGAGAAAGTAGATTTATGGCTTTCTAAAGACTTCCTAAGTGCTGGAGACAGACGCTTCCCATCGTCCTTTAAAGTCTGCAGCCAGGCTAATCAGGTTCCCAGGGGCACCTGGCTTCACCTAGCGGCCAAAATGCACCCCAAGACTGCTCCCTGGAAGAAATACCACGGGGTGCATCAGGCAGACCCTGCTCATAATTCCAGCTCTGCCCTTTTTGATCTGTAACCAGAAGCACGTGATAATAAGACGTCAGAAGGACCAGGAGCACGAAGTAACTGGCAGAAGCCGTCAATCCAAGACCGTAACCTCGGCGGTAGCCCCTCTTTATTTTTTTATTTTATTTTATTTTTTTTTGGTAGCCCCTCTTTAAAACGAGCATGGCCTGGGACACCATTCAAGGTCCTTGTCTCCAGATTAGACCTTTAAGCAGAGTCATGAGCCTGACCATAAACACACATGAAACCTCAACCAAGGCAGAGAGGGGTTTTTCCTTCACCTCTTTCCATATTTTACTTGTCTGGTTGTCTCTTATTTGCTTACGTTATTTATTTTTGGCATCTCCTTTATTGGTAGTTCTCAACCCTGGCTGCACATTAAAGTCACCTGTACATTAAAAACACTTGCAACTGTTGGCCAACATCCTCTTTCCCATTCTGATTTCATTGGTCCGAAGTGAGGCCCAGCTGCCCATACTTTTGTAATAAGCTCCAAGGTGATTCTAATGAGTAGTTAAGATTGAGATCCATCATCCTTAACATTACATGCCAACTGTGGTCTGGCTGGCCAGGCTTTCCTTCAGGCAAACTGCAGCGTTTCAGAGCCCCCAAAGCAAGTAGGGAGAGTGAAATTCCCATGAACACGAAAGAAAAAATAAGGAGAGCTACTATTTATTGGGCACTTATCATACTGTGCTCTGCACATGTTCCTGCAGCAACTTCTAACTCCTCCCTGAGTCCCAGGGATGATTTGCTTTGTATGTCTCCTAAATGCGGGCTGTTTTCTGCCTCGAGGACTGCAAGGGAAATCCCACCAAAGCCTGGTCCAATCCCATCTTCTCCTCCTTTTCAACCAGGACTTTGTGAGTTCCCAGGAGGGCTTCATCTGATCTACCTGCTTGGCTTCCTGGGTGGGGAACCTTGGGTACATAAGAAGCCATTTGCTCACTTACCAACGACATAGATGCGGTCCCGGAAACTCACTGCATTGATGCATTTAGCCTCCACTGGCATGGGCGACTTTAAACTCCACTTGTTGGTGGAAGGGTCGTAACACTGAGTCTTGTCCGTGGCCAGTTTTCCATTGGGCCCTCCTCCAATCACATAGAGCTTCTTCTTATGGCTGGTGGCTGCGAAGGAACTGACATGGACGAGGAGGGGCGCCGCCTGTAGAGACGCAGGGCCCAGGAGAAGCTGTCAGTCACATTGCCCAGCTTGCTGCAGTGGCTCACAGGACACAGGCCAGGAGCCAGGGCACAGGAGCCTGGGCATCCTTTGCCTGAAGTCACAGGCCTGTAGCCTTGACTCCCCCTTGAAACACAGAGAGGATCAAAGCACATATATCCCACCCTCCCTCCAGACAGTAGCAAGTGTTGGGTGATTCCAGCCTGTTTCTCCCAGAGTTCGTGTCTCAGGTGAGGAGAGGTAGTGACAGGAATAAGTGTTTCCACAGATGAAACCAGCCAGTATTGGAGAGAAATGCTTTTTCAAATGTGCATATTCATATTCACTCATGTGTTTATTCACTTAAAATTATTCACTATATGCCAGGCATTGTCCTTGGTGTTTATAATATCCAGGAAGGAAAAATGGTGAAAGGGTTCCAGGTGGCCACAGGTAAGCAGACTCTCCCACTGGGGCAACATGCAGATTTGGGGATTAAGCTAGACTGGTGCTTCCACCCTGTGAACCCCAGGGCACTAAAGGGGTCCTCCAAGAGCTTCTTGCCCATTGACATGATCCTCTTGGGCCAGGGAGCAACCCACAAGTGCCAAGTAATGGGGTTTACCAAACTGAGAAGATCTTAGTGCCCCCCACCCCCACCATTAAACATTAAGGGCTCCCTATTTGGCACTCTTCAGGTTGACAGGTCTAGATGCCAGGAGGACCTGGCTACCTGTGCTGTGCCTACAATGACCATGCTTTACACTCTCCACAACTGAAACATGCTCTGGCATATGATATGACAAGGAGAAAGAAAATAGGAAAGTGGCAATAACCTGGAAATACCAGGAAGTGAGATCACTTGACTTTTTTAAAAAAATTATTGAGGTAAGAACACTTAACACGAGGTCTACCCCCTTAACACATTTTTGAGTGTTCAATAATTATTATCTATAGCACAGTGTTGTACAGCAGATCTCCAGAACGTATCCATCTTTGCGCCCATTGATTAGCAATGCCTTACCTTTGCCTGAGTGTGATATATACCTGAGTTTGCATTGTGAAACTTGTTAAACTCTTGCGTGCAAGTATATAAAAGATGATTCACTAATAAGCAAATAAACAAGGGCTGATTTCTAAGCACTACCAAATGACTCTGCATTCAACAAACAGTGTGTTAAAGGGATCCTTGGGTGTCCCGTGCAGAGAAGACAAAGCAGATGGCATCTGAGGACACGGAGACTGTGGGCCAACATATGCACCCAGAGTAGGATCTAGCCTCCCCCACGCATCTGGGGTTCTGGCCAGGATAGGGCAGGTGTACACAGAGCTGTGACCTGATCAGCAATGCTAAAGCAATGATTCCTATGAGGAGGGAAGCTCACAGCCACCAAAAATGTTCTCAGTGGGAGCCGAGTGATCAGAAAACCATATATCAACATTGACAGAAACCCTTCTTTAAGCTTTGAAGTAATAATACAAACAGAGTTACCCATAGAAATAATCTCCGATACCTCTGACCAGCAGTTGTGGAAGGGGTCGTAGGTCTCCACGTTGTTGATCCTCTGTAAGCCATCAAAACCTCCGATCACATAGACCTTGCCACCCAACACGACCATCTTATGCCTCCAGCGGCCTATGTTCAAATACTCTATTTGGATCCATTTGTTGATCGAAGAATTATATTTCCAAACATCGTGCTGTGTTTCTTTGCCACCTAGAAGAGATGCAGAGCATTTAAGAAACCACCAGATGTATCAGAAATAGAGCTTCTCCCATAATTTCCCACAGATCCAGAAGTGCTGAATCCCCAGGCCAGCCCTCCTAAGAAAGAGAAAAGAAGTCCTGAAGGTGTGTGTGACCTCTTTGGGGAGACAGAACCAACACAGAGGAACAAAAAGAGACAGTGTGAGGCTGGGGTGAATAATTCTCCAGACATGTCATGTGGCACCTCTGTGCTGTGAGAGCTCAGGGAAGAGGTGGGCTTCCGGGAGGCAGGACCACGTCCTCCTTCACCCACAGCAGGACCTGGACTCCATGTTTGTGAAGCTAAGAAACAAGCTGAAAGGCAGGACAGGTGAGGCTGGACCGTTGCAGGGCCTTCCTTGACCAGCAGGCTAATTGAAAAGCAGCTTATGTTCTGTTTGCTTATTTGTTTTTTAAAATGCAAACCAATAAATATTTTTAAATCCCCGGGGTTGCCTAGCTGGTTGGCTCAGTGGTTGACCGTCAACTGATGTACCAAGAAGTCACTGGTTCGATTCCTGGTCAGGGCACACGCCTGGGTTGCAGTCTCGATCCCTGGTAAGGTGCATGCAGGAGGCAGCCTCCTGGACACACAGTTAAACTGCATTTCCCAGCCCACCTGCAATGTTTCTCTCTCATCCATTGCTGTTTCTATCTCTCTATCCCTCTCCCTCACTCTCTCTCTAAACAAATCAATAAAACATATTTTTAAAAATTATCTGGGTTTATAACTGTACAAAAAAATATAAGTGGGGTTGTCCTGTTTTTAAACAATTTTTACTATAAAAGAATGAGCTGGTAAATAGTTTTTTCAAAACAACTCTCTTATTAAACAGAAAATACATAATTTCATTAGAAAGAGAGGACAAAACAGAGAAGAACTGTCTTTTTTGGTGACTTTAGTCAAATATTTTAACAAATTTGTATTTCCAATTCCCCCTCAGCACAGAGTGCCAACTCAACTACTTGACGAAAAATATGTACTTTTCAGACTTATTAACCTGCCCTGCTACCCTGGTGCGGCAATGACTGTCACTGATGATGCACCGTGTCCTGGGTAAGCGTTTCTCTATGATTGAGCCCAAAAGTGGGTTTCCTAGGTCAAGGGTGTACATACCTTGAATTTTTATAGGTGCTGCCAAAGAGCCCTCTAAAGGGCTCCACCCACAGTGGGTGTAAGGAGGGGGTTTTGGGGTGTTTTCTTTGTGGTTGTTTTATAGCCTAATGGAGAAAAATAATGCCAGCTTGGTTTTCCCTGGCTATTAGGGAGACTGAGCTTTTCCCTCTTCTGCAAATTTTTAGTTCATTTAGTTTAATCGTTTTTCTTTTTGTTGTGTGCCTTTTAGAGATCTCTATTTACTTAAAACTCTGTGATATTGGTCCCATGTCGGTAGTGTCAAAACTTACTAAATAACTATAAACTTTCAAAGAAATGCATGCAAATTTTATTTAAGAAGAAAAAGAACTCTATGGATTTTACTTCATAACAGAAGACCTGATTAACTGGGCAGGCATATCGTGTGTGCATAGATAAGAAGTCATCAGCCTTCTCCAGATAAACCCACTTATCCAGCGCCTTCAGGAATTTTCAGGGAACTTGAAAAGATCATTCTAAATTTCACCTGGAAGAGTAAATTTGGAAAGATTTCTAAGGAACTTGTGAAAAAGAAAAATGAAGAGGGGGCTTTCCACAGCAAATATCAAACTATACTACACAGCTATTATACGAACAACGTGGTGCTGCATCAGACCACACACACTGATGAATAACAGCCGGAGTACAGAACAGGCTAAAGCAGCGGTTCTCAACCTGTGGGTCGCGACCCCTTTGGCGGTCGAACGACCCTTTCACAGGGGTCGCCTAAGACCATCCTGCATATCAGATATTTACATTACGATTCATAACAGTAGCAACATTACAGTTATGAAGTAGCAACGAAAATAATTTTATGGTTGGGTCACAACATGAGGAACTGTATTTAAAGGGCCAGAAGGTTGAGAGCCACTGGACTAAAAGATGGTCTTAGAAAACTTGGCCATTTACTTAGAGAAAAATTAAGCTAGATCCATATTCCACATTACCCTTAAAATAAACCTCAAATGTAAGTGCTTTAAAAGTAACTGAAGAAAATATAGAAGATATTAAGGACCTTCAGGTGGGAGGAACTTTCTGAGCAAGATTTGAAACCCAGAATCATGTAAGAAAGTTACTATATAAAATCTAAATCAATATTAGAAGACATCACAGCCTGGGAGAAAGTACTTGCAATACAAATAGCGAAAGGTATATGATAAGAACTCCAAAAACTTAATTAAAAAAAAAAAAGACAAACCACCAATAGAAAAACAAAGAGTGTGATCAGATAATTTGTAAAATAAATACAGTTAGCTATTAAATATACGGAAATATACTCGACCTCATTAATGACCCAAGTGTGTAAATTTAAGCATTCTAGACTATTAAAAGTGTAATTGACTGATAATAAAAAATAACATAAAATGGATGTTGAAAGTGGCACTGTTATTCATCATTGGTTGAACTATAAACTAGTACAAACTTTCTGGAGGACAATTTAGCAATATCTACAAGAATTCTAACTTCTCACATCTTATGACCACTTCTAGGAATCTCTCCAAATAGCAGCACAAGTTCATAAACACATGTGCAGTATTTTTTTAGTAGAAAAATAAGAGCTGAAAAACAATCATGGTTCATTTATTCGATAAACTGTCCTGCAGCTGGTAAAAGGAATAGTGATAATGAAATGATGCTAATGATGGCTAACACTGTTGAGCTCTCACCGTGTGCTTGGGATTGTGCAGTGCTTTACATGTATTATATCACTTAAAACATACGATAGACCCATTACACCAACTGCAATGAGGTGGAAATGTATTGTGAATTTAAGTGAAAATTTCTGTTGATTTTATTGTGTTTAACAAGCATGCTTTCATGTATTGCTTGTATCGTTTTTTTAAAAAGACGACGACACATTTAAGAGAAGGACAAGTTGTAGAATAACATGCAGTGGATGTGGCAAAGACTGACTATAATTACAAACCCCGTCTTTTCCTCCTGGACACACAGTTAAACTGCATTTCCCAGCCCACCTGCAGAGGGTGGGGGGAGGGGCAGGGAGGGCATGTGGCTCATTCTTGCCAATAGACTGTGAGTAGAATTGTGAATCCAGACTAACGCTGTTCTCAACTCGTCCACACTCAACTCATTCATTTCCTCTCTCCTCTCGAAATGAAGACCACATATAGACAACAGCAGCAGCACAGGATGGAAGGAGCCTGGGTCCCTGAGGGCCTGAGCAGAGCAACCCCATATACTATTATGGTAATTCGCTGAGATTTAGAATGAGTTACTGAAGCTGGCATTATTTACTCTAAAGCAATATAAAACTATTTTTAATTTAAAGTACAGGATTGTAATGACACAGAGAAACTGACATATTTTACTTCATACTCCATATTATTTGAATCTTCTACAACAATCAAAACATATTTCTGCAAGACAAAAGAAAGCTATAACCTCATCTATGATATTAATATATCCATAGAAGAACTGACCTGACCTTGATTTTGGAGGAAGCCAGCTCTGGGAAGCAGCTTTCCCCCAAATAAGTACAGATTAGAGAACACCTTCTAGAGAAGAGAAGGGATACTTGTCTCCTCCCTGGGGGCCCCAAGAAGTGCTGGGTCGCTTTTGATGTCATGGGAAAAGCATGGGACTCAGAGAACCTGGGCCGGAGTCCTGCCTGACATGTACCAGTGTGTGGCCTTCGGTGCATCCCATAACCTTTCTGAGCTTCAGTTTTCTCCGTCTGTAACCTGGAGATTTAAGTCACCTATCTTCCAGAGTTGAGGTGAGAGGCATATGATTAAAGGCCACCAAATTATAAATCCGTCTACTATGCTGCAAAGATGGTAGAAAACATGTCTTTCAATAAATATTCATTGCGCATTTACTATGGCGGCCAGGCACAGTGCTAGGTGTTGGGAATAGTGCTGGCTGTCCGATAATTTAAGGACGAATGGTTGATAGGCATAGATCATTGTAAATAATTGATCAAACTACTTAGAAGTAAGAAATGAAAACAAAATACTGGATGCTTTGGGAGTGTCTAAAAGTAGGACCTAATAAACTTGAAGGATCAGGTCTTGGAGAAGAGCAGACGTTTTTATTCATTACTGTACTCCCAGTGCCAAGCCTATAGCAGACACCGAATAAATTCTGGTATCACTTTCCTGTTTCTCTTCCTGCTCCCCAGATCCCAGCACAATATTGCTCCCAGGTTAGGGTTCATCAAGTAAAAATGTGCCTTCCAAGGTAAGACCACCTGAGCTTCTGGTTTCCATATCCTGACCCACTCAGAGCTAGATCGTTGCCATTTACAATAATTCTTCTAGGATGGCTGCCTGCCCTCACTCAGGAAAACATGTAGTGCCGATGCGGACTTGCTTTGGCATCACGTGGCTCCTGCTTACCTGAGATGTAGACCTCATTTTTTAATGTCACGCATGCAAACTCCACCCACTTCTTATTCTCACTCTCCAGCTCATGCTCCGTCATCGGGAGCTTGGCCACCTCCAGGCGGCTGCGCCTCAGGGGGTCCAGGCAGGTTACCTCCGCCACAAACCGCTCATCCTTCGTGCAGCCACCGATGATCATAAACACCTCAGACTGGAACTCGTGCATCCTGGGCTTGGTGCGCTCTGATATTATCTGGAAAACCAATGAGAGGACAGGGTGACACAGGGTGTCAGCGCTCAGGTTATGGAGCCAGCAGAGCAGGGCCCAGTTCCCAACTCCGCCATTGTGTGACCAGGTGACAGCACCTCCCTGAGCCTCAGTTTCCTCTTCTGTATATTAGAGATTATAGAGGTTTGCTGTGAGGATTCACTGAGATCATATACATATCATATACCAGGCTGTGTTGGGCCCAGGGCCTGGTATATAATAGGTACTCAGTAAAGGTTATCTGTTATTGTTTTTGCTGCCATTTTAAGAACTCCAGGTCTGTTTACCATCAAGTGCACTTCTTGCTTCTCCCTTCCTGCCTGATATGAAGCCTTGAATCCTAGAATTCCATTTCTGGCCGCCTTCCACTCCTGCCTTGTTCCAATATCTTGATGATATCCCAGACTTTTGTTCACTACCACACTTCTTCTGAAAGAGAGGTCCTGTCAGTGGGAGCAGGGTATGGCCAGGCAGGTTGGGGGACTGGGTCTCAACCTTAAGCATATGACCCTTCAGAGCCGTGAACCACACCATGGAGATTTGAAAGAGCCACACCATGGAGATTTGAAAGAGCCACACCATGGAGATTTGAACCCAGCGGAAAGAGCAGACGTCTGCAGTCAAATACACCAGAGTTTGGTTCCACCGCCTATGGCCTAGTGACCATGGAGAGGCAACACAATCTCTGTAAATGCCTGTCCTCATTTCTATGCCATCAGACCTTGGTATAGATCAAGGTGGTCCCAGGAAGTTTAGGAGGAAGTGAAACAGAGGGGCAACTTTTCTGTCCCAAAGACCTCTCCCAATGAAGGTACCAGCTACCATTTCTACATTAAACACAGATTAACATTTGCTCTTAGGGTTTTAAAATGTCCCTCTGTCATCACCTTCATGAACTTGGAGGAGGGGCAAGATTAAGAAGGAGAGATAATGGTAGGACAAGAAGGGTTAAAGTTTGGGAAAGGAAGGTGAAGTGAGTCTCTCCCAATGAAGGTACCAGCTACCATTTCTAAGTTAAACACAGATGGACATTTGCTTTTAGGGTTTTAAAATGTCCCACTGTCATCACCTTCATGAACTTGCAGGAGGGACAAGATTAAGAAGGAGAAATAATGATAGGACAAGAAGGGTTTAAAGTTTGGGAAAGGAAGGTGAAGTGAACATTCATTATCTGATTATATCTCAAAACAATTCTAGCAGCTGGTAGGCATTATTATCTCCATGTTACAGGTTGGATCGGAGCTTTGGAGCAGCTAAGTAGCTCAAGGTCACACGTAGGTAAATTGTGCAAAGTTAAAGCCAAGATTCTCCTGACTGCAAGCCCAAATTTCTGCCACTGGAGACTTTCCAGATATCAGAATTCTCTCTCCTCCTAAATCCAAAGTTTATGCTCCCATTCCTCACCCCCCAACCCCATTTCAAATACAATACGCAGAGCAGGTGTTTTATAGCAGCAATTTTGCAGAAGACATAGTAGAGATATTTTATATCAAAGGAATGCCTTCTTCGCCTGCATTTCGGAGACTAAACAAATGGGAAGCAGGAACAGAAATAGCCAGAATTTTGGAAGTCCAGTTGATCAAGACTCTGAACTTCAAATGCTTCACTGAATACAGCTGCAGAAACGGACACTTGTCCAAGTGTATGAGGGTTTTGGTTCCCAGTGCTGAGCCACCTGCCAGCGACCCACATACCAGCACGGGATATGATCCATGTGATTGCCTACACTCCATCAGTCTGTCCACTCATCAATTTTATTTGCTTACTGTCCTCTATTCTCTGACAGACATTTAGCAAGGAAGAGATTTTTATTATAGTGCCTGGTGCCATTTCTGGCATATTGTTACTGTTGAGGATTTATTTGTAAAAAAAATGAAGGCATAGCATATTAAAATATATGGGATGCTGTTAAAGTAGTACTTAGGGCAGTGATGGCGAACCTTTTGAGCTCAGATTGCCAGCATTTTGAAAAACTGTAACTTAACTCTGGTGCTATGTCACATATAGAAATTTTTTGATATTTGCAACCATAGTAAAACAAAGATTTATATTTTTGATATTTATTTTATATATTTAAATGCCATTTAACAAAGAAAAATCAACCAAAAAAATGAGTTCGCATGTCACCTTTGACACACGTGTCATAGGTTCGCCATCACTGACTTAGGGGGAAATTTATAGTACTAATGATAATATTAAGGGGAAAGGTCTCAAATCAATGACCTCCAATTTACCTTAAAAAAATAAAAAAGAAGAGAAAATTAAACCCAAAGGAAGCAGAAGACATGATATAATCAAGATTAGATTAGAAACAAGTTAAATAGGAAACATAAAAGCAATAGAGAAAAAAAATTAAACCAGAAGCTTGTTCTTTGAGAAAATCAATACAATTGACAAACCTTCAGCCAAAATGATCAGATAAAAAGAGGAGACACAAATCACCACTATCTGGAATGGGAGATGTGAGTGACATCACTACAGATTCTACAGATAATAAGGAAATATTGTGAACAGTAAACCAACATATTCAGTAACTTCTATGAAATGGAAAAGTTCTTTGAAAAATACAAACTATTAAAGCTCATTCTAGAAGAAATAGATAACCTGAATAGCCCTATATCTATTAAAGAAATACAATTTATAATTAAAAACCACACACACACACACACCCTCCTGGTTCTAATAACATCACTGGTAAAACTACCAAACATTGAAAGATATATTTGCAGAGTGAATGAGTGACGATGAATCTGAGGACAACACAAAACTAGAAAGGACACCTGGGGAAAAGAGGAGGCTCCTGGGGGCTTCACACAAATCATTCCAAAGCCACTCTTTACTCAGATATCTATCAATGGCCTAATGAAGAAGGCTTGGTAGCCAAACCCAGAAGTATTGTATAGGGGGATATATGTGTGGGCTTCATGTATATAAACTTAACAGTTCCTATTTCATTACTTCCTGATTGCTTATTCGCCTCCACTAAACCTAGTCTTGTCTTTATACAGTAATGAATAAAATATGTCTTCAATTGTTAAGGAGAACCAGGTAGATTCAAATGATAGGCACATTCACCGTCTTGGTCTCCGTTTTTCATTCAACAAACCTTTATCAATCACTTACTCTATACCAGGGAGTCTCCTAAAGTCTGGAGATGAAAATTCCAATACAACATACTTTCCACCATAACAAGCTCCCAACCTAGAGATATTAACAGATGAGGATCCAATGATTAACATGTAGCAGTTGGTGTTAAAACACTGCAGTGCATCAGGGGCTGAGAATGAGCGAAGCCTCTGGAGAAGATGTTGCTTGAACCGAATTTTGAAGCAGGAGCAGACGTTGACTAGATGAAGAAGAGGGAAAAGGCATCTGAACAGCACCTGCATTAGCTGGAGGCGGAAAAAGCAGGTCCGCTTTGGGGATTTAGAAGCTGTGTCTTTAAGCTGTAGCAGAAGAGAGGGGCTGGAGATGGCACTAGAGAAGCGGGCAGGAGGTGAAGGATGCAGGGCCAGGCTCTGGGAGCTCAGGCAGGAAGTGTGGGCTTTATCCCGAAAGGGGCGAGGAACCAGAGAAGAGGGTAAGCCTAAGAGAGAAATGATTAGGCTCAGTTTCAGATCATCTGGCTGATGAATGAACTGGAGAAAGGCCAAACTGGAGCAGGAAGGTGAGTTTTGAGGAACTTCCAGAAATTCGGGAAGGAAATAATGAGAGTCTGAACTAAGGGAACATCAGGTTCCCCAGAGCGAGCAGGCAGAAAGCAGCACCCGGTGGAATGGCGACTGGACAGGGCACCTTCTGTCCATGTGTGTGTCACCCCCACTACCCTCCCGCCTTCCACAGCTGGGAAGAGAAGGGCTGTGCCAGGCTTGGTGCTGGGTGATTTCTGTATCTCACCTTATCCTCTCAGAAGCTGCCCATGAGGCATTACCATCCCCATTTTACAGATCAGAGTTCCAGGGCTTCTGGAACTGCCTGACTCAAACTATCATCAGTGTAGCATCTTCTCCTTGCTCTCTAAGCCTTAGAACAAGGAGCTGCCAGCCAGCCTCGCCTGATCTCTATGAGGCCCGCTAACTCCTTTACTTTGCTAGTTCACAGCAGCACCTCTCATCTCACCTCATTGCCAGAAAGGTGGTACATCCTGGCTTCCTGAAGCAGCGGGAAGACCTCCGGGCACTGCCTGATGAGAGGATCTGCCTCCACCGTCTCCACAAAGTACCACGGGTCCAGAAGCGGCAGGCGCACGTACTCCAGGATGTAGGGGAGCAAGCAGAGCCGCTCCGACTGCTTGTGCCGCACCCAGCTCATCACCGTCTCAAACACCTGAGCTTCCTCCGTCACATAAAGGTCATCGCTCTTCAAGATGTGGTACAGGGTGTCCACGGGGAGCTCCAGGAACTCCTCGGCGTTCAGAATCTGCACGAAGTTTTGGATGATGTAACTTTGAACCTGCTTCTTTAGACTGTCCAAGGAGTGCGTGTCCGCCAGCCTCAGGATCCCAACGCAGTTCTCTGGGTTCAAGGCTTCGGTGAGGAAGCTGGCGCAGGCGTCCACCATCCGCAGGAACTAAGAGAACAATAAGGGACTAGTTCAATAGGTAAGAATACATTCCTATGTTGGACAGCTCTATAGTCACTAAGAAAACATGTTGTAGAAGAATATTAAATGGCGTAGAACATTTTTGTAGTGCTCTAAGTTTTAAAATCTGTTCATGGAATCTGGTCGAGCCTCTAGTTTTAATCAGCAACGACAAGAAATAGAGTTCAGCCCTGGCCGGTGTGGCTCAGTTGGTTGAGGATCGCCCTGAGCACCTAAAGGTGACTGGTTGGTTCCAGATTAGGGCACATGCCCGGGTTGCAGTTTGGGTCCTGGTCCGGGTGCGTGCAAGAGGCAACTGATTAATGTTTCCTTCTCTCTACCTCTCTCTCCCTTCCTCTTTCTCTAAAATCAAGTGGAAGAATATACACTGTTCATGAATTCAACATCATTAAAATCAACATCTTTAAAATGTTCATACTTCCCAAAGCGAAAAAATCCCTATTAAAATACCAACAGCATATTTCACAGACCTAGAACAAACTCTCCAGAAATTTACATGGAATAAAAAAAAAAAAGACCCCAAATAGCTACAGCAATTCTGAGAAAGAAGAACAAAGTCGGAGGGGTCACAATACTAGATATGAAGCTATATTACAAAGCCACTGTTCTCAAAACTGCCTGGTACTGGCACAAGAACAGACATATAGACCAACGGAACAGAACAGAGAAACCAGAAATCGACCCAGGCCACTATGCTCAATTAATATTTGACAAAGGAGGCACGAGCATACAATGGAGTCAAGACAGTCTCTTCATTTTTTAGCTTCAGCTGGGAATGTGGACATCAGGGGATTCAAATTTCTTTCCCCTCCTCACATGCCTGCAAATGACCATGAATGGCTCATACATGCTGATTTTGGAGTTACAAATACATTTTAGGGATGTTGGCCTGTAATTTTCCTTTTTGTAATATATTTTTCCAGTTTTGAAATTAGGATAATGTGAGGATGTGGAGAAAAGGGAACCCTCGTGCACTGCTGGTAGGAATGCAGACTGGTGCAGCCACTTTGGAAAACAGTATGGAGTTTCCTCAAAAAATTAAAAATGGAACTCCCGTTTGACCCAGTGATCCCACTTCCAGCAATATAGCCCAAGAAACTAGAAACACCAATTAGAAAGGATATATGCACCCCTATGTTCATAGCAGCACTATTTACCATTGCTAAGATTTGGAAACAGTCTAAGTGCCCATCAGCAGATGAGTGGATTAGAAAACTGTGGTACATCTACACAATGGGATACTGTGCTGCTGTAAAAAAGAAAGAACTCTTACCATTTGCAACAGCATGGATGGACCTGGAGAGCATTATGCTAAGCAAAATAAGCCAGTCAGAGAAAGATAAATATCACATGACCTCACTCATTTGTGGAATATAATGAACATAAACTAATGAACAAAAATAGATCCGGAGTCATAGAAGCATCGAACAGACCGTCAAACCTCAGAGGGAAGGCAGGGGAGGGTGGAAGTGGGGAGGGTAAGTAATCAACCGAAGAACTTGTATGCATCCAGATAAGCATAACCAATGAACACAGGCACTAGGGGGGCGAGGGCATGTGCTGCGGGGCAGGAGCGACCAGGTAGAAGTCAATGGGAGAAAAAGGAGCCATATGTAATACTTTCAACAATAAGACTTTAAATTAAAAAAAAAAAAAAGGAAATACTGCCTGGCCAGTGTGGCTCAGTGGTTGAGCATCGACCGATGGACCAGGAGGTTACCATTTGATTGCCAGTCAGGGCTCATGCCTGGGTTGTGGGCTTGATCCCCAGTTTTGGGATGTGCAGGTAGCAGCCAATCAGTGATTCTGTCTCTTCATTGATGTTTCTCTCTCTCTGTGTCTTTCTCTCCCCTCTCCTTTCCTCTCTGAAATCAATAAAAATATATTTTTTAAAAAGGAAATATGGGTTGACTCTTGAAGAATGCAGGGAAGTGGGGTGCTGACCTTCCACATAAATGAAAATCCCTGTACAACTAACATATAGGGGAAAGAGGAACATGTCAAATGACAGACACCATGGGAAGATCAGCAGAATCCAGACCGTGGGAAACTCTACAGTTTCTTCATCAAATATATCACAAGGGGAAAGTGGGGAGGGGAGGAAGAGCCTGAGGATGAAAAGAGATCTAAGAAACACATCAAACTTTGGCAAAGTAGAGACCTTATTTGGACCCTGATTTAAAACAAAATAATTTTAAAAGTCAGAAATGTGTGCAGTGATGAATATTTGCTGATATGAAGCAATTATTATAATTGTGATAATGGTATGGCTATGTTTAAAGAAGCATCTTTCCTTTTAGAGATAATTACTGAAACTCTTGCAGATAAAATAAAAAAGCACTTCACAAAACCACATGTACATTATGATCCTAACTCCAATAAAGAAGATATAGGGATGTAGGCCTTAGAAAAAAAGACTGAAGGATAATATTAACAGTTGTCAGTCTCTCTGTGTATCAGATACCGTAGGATTCATTATGCTACAGTAACAAACAACCCCCAAATATCAGGGGCTTACAACAATACATGTTATTTCTCACTCATATTGCATGTCCTTCACTGGGCTCTTCATTCCAAGACCCAAGACTTTGCAAAAACCCTTAACTAAAGTATGCCAGTCTTGTGACAGGAGAAGAAGGATGGCTCTTAGCACTTTTGCTCAGAGGTGGTGCATGCCAGTCATTCTCACTCACACTGAGCTGACTGGGATAAGTCTTGTGGCAAAATTTGTTGTCAAGGAAACAGTAATCCTCCCACAGAAACTGGTCCCATAGCAATGGACAGTGAATGTGCTATATAAATAAGGCACCCCACTTGCTAATAAGACTATGAGAATTTTAAAATTTTGTTTACTTATATATTTTTTATTTTATTTTTTTTTAATCCTCACCCAAAGAGTGAGGATATTTTTTCCATTGATTTTTAGAATGGAAGGCATGGGAGAGAGGGGGAGAGAAACATCGATGTGAGAGAGACACATCAATTGGTTGCCTCCCACACTCACCCTGACTCGGGGCAGGGATTGAACCTGCAACCCAGGTACGTGCTCTTGATTAGGAATTGAACCCTCAACCTTCCGGTGTGCAGGACAGCACTCTAACCACTAAGCAATGCTTGCCAGGGCTATTTATATACTTTTTAAATCTTCCAACATGAATAACACCATTGCAATGAAAATTAATTTGTAAAATTGATTGGTTTTTGTGACTTATTTTTCAATTATCGTCATCCTCATAATATGAACCCCGTGTATATATAGACTTTTACAGCTTACAGAGCACTGTCAAATACGTTATGTTATTTTAATATTCATTTTACAAATGAGGTGTCTCAAATGCATCAGTTCATTCCTATTCATTGCTCTCTGGAACTTACTTTGAACAAGTCCAAGCTCCTATCTCCCCTCCTGTCCACTGGGCCCCTTAAAAGGTCAAGTTCTCAATGTTCTTGAGTTGATCAAGTAGCAGAAGATTGGAAAAAGGGAGGCACCCAGGGAGGGCTGGTCTGAAGATAGGTGGGAGTATAGATGGGCAGGCCTGCTGAGAAGACAGCTCTAGTGGCAGGGCCTGGGGTGGCAGGGTTGTGGGCCAGAGGATGGGGGTGGGCACAGGACTTAGAGTGGACCGTGTAGACTTAGGTTTTGCCCTTCACTCCAGAGCAACCTAAGGATAAAAACCACTGGTTGTTTGGATCATTTCCAATTACAAAATATTGTATTTCCATATCACATCACATTTTCCAATTGTCGGTTTAGAAAGCTCTGACTGAGGGTCAATGCAATGTTGAAGAAAGCCTGAATTCTGCTTCAAACCGCCCTGTCTGCGGGTCCCAACCACCTGCAGATCAGCTCCTCGCATGAGCAACTGTGGAAACGGTTGAGACTGAGAATTCTAACACCTGTTCAGTTGTTCGCAGATTTTCAGTTCAAAGAGTAAAAATACACAACTGAGACCAAGCCTCACTGAGCCCTCAGAACATGTAACCAGAGCCCTTTGTGGCCTGGCCCACAGAGACGTCGCTGGGGGCTGAAAGGGAACTCACTTACGTGGTAGCCTCCAGAGCAAAACAGCAGGTACACCAGGCCCGAGTTTGCGTGAGAAGAAGATGATATGAAAACCAAATCAATTTTCTAAATATGTAGACTATGTCTGAGAGGCCGCCTAAGAAACTGGTAACAGCGTTTGCCTCTGGGGAGAGGTCCTGGTGGCTGGGTTCAGGGTAAAGAGGAAGAATTACTTTTCACTGTTTACCTTTTTGTACCCCCTGGAATTATGTGCCAGGAGGAGGAATTCTCTATTTAAACTAAAGTAACTTTCTCATGAGTAGAGAAAACACTAGAGGGGAAGACTCAAAATGCTAACAGTGGTTGTTTCAAATGCAGCTTTGGGAAGTTAGACTTTTCGGTATAGACCAAGTTTTCTACATTGAGCATGACGTCGCTTTTAAAATCAGAAATAAATACTGTTTTGCAATTCTCAAGTACACATTGAGATAATAAAATAAAAAAATAACATAGAGAACCTACAACGCACCAACCCCTTTATCGTAAGTAGCTCACTCACCCTCACAACAACGTTATAAAGTAGATAGTTATTACCATTCCTGTTTCATAGATGAGAAAAGCAGATTCAGAAAAGTTAAGTCATTTCCTGAGAGATTTGTAAATAATAACAAGTAGAGCTAAAACTTGAAACTGTCTTATCTGGTTCCAGAAATGCATGTTTTTACATTATTTCAAGCTGCCTCCAGTCAGCTAGTGTGTGCACAGGACGGCAGCTTTGCAGATGCCACACATCATAAATGTTCACACCTCTCCGGAGAGCTCAGCTGCTCTAATCTGCCCAGATTCGGGAAGGGCTGGCCGACAAGATGCCAGTTCCTGCCCCTGCTTGATGACTATTGATGAGCAAAGAAGAAAACCAGGAAGGAGAATCGAATCAAGTACCGAAGTTCGCATTTGTAAGAAG